GTGAATAAACGACCATTACGAAAATTGACATTATTTTGTTTCGAGGAAGCGTATTAATGTCGCATATATATATCATGTAAGAAAGCTATACGTTGCATATATATTCGTGTAAGAAAGCTATCTTGCAAGAAAAATGCTGAACAAAGAAAATAATAAACGATTCTTGATTTATCAGACGGGAAAACAGCGGACAAGACTAAATAGAATTCGTGAAAGGTGCGTGGAAGTGAAATTAGTTTACAACGCATTATTAAATTAAATATTTTCAAAGTCAGTGACGAAGAATCAATTTTCTTTTTTCATAGAATATTAAAATAAGAAATGACGTATCGCCAATTTTTTTAATGCCCTTCGACGTTTCAAGAATGACATATTTCGATAACAACATGCCATATTTTCGAAGTCGCTGCGTGCGCGTCTCGCGAGCTTCGGTCACAATGAAGTAGGACGCTCAATTAGATCATTAGGCGGGTAATAGCACTCGCGTGCGCCCACCGTCGCGCGTCGTCCGCCGCTACGTGCCTCGCGAATAATTAGCGGCCGCCGACGGCTCTTCCATCCGTCGGCGGATCGAAATAAAAATGAATAATAAATTCGACAGCGTAACCTCGTAATAGCCGCTTCCTCGGCTGCGAGGAGCCGAGGGGGAATTTTCTCCCGCGCGCGCGATAATGGAATCGATTAGCGAGGTGCACCGATCCAATTAACTTCGCTTCTTCGCAACGTCACGGCCGATAAACGCGCCGCATGAAAAATTACGCAACCGTTTAAGAGGATGCTGAAAGGTCGGCCAAATTTGTACAAGGTCGATAAAGCAGACTTTTCAGTGTCAGTGGTATTTTTAAATGAACTTCTTATAATATCTTCTGGTCTCACTCAAACACGTGGAATGTCCTTATTTAACTTATTGAAGTGCCATCTCTTGGAAAATCCGACACTTACTACCAGACGCAATTTTTGCTGTCTTTACTTTAGCCGAGAGTACGAATTACCACAAATTGCATTCTAATGAACAACTTTTTTTCTATGCTTCCAATCGTAGCTCAAAAGGTTTTGTATTATTCGTGCAAGTAATCCGATGCGCGCTAGGTACATTTTTTGTGCATATGAGCTGCAGAACTTTTGTATCAATAAAATGTTTACGTCAGGTGATAGGTTATGTACCCCAAAAAAAGTAAATTTTGAATATTTTTTCGTTTTTACTATTCATATATACCTAGCGCGATAATATTTTATGTCTATTTCAATCCTGTAAAAGCGTTTTTAAATCCGTTCAATCGTTTCGGTGTTATCCATTAGAATGCAAATGTCGGTAATTCCCGACCTTTCAGCATCCTCTTAACCGCGCGCGCGATTGTCGCGCGGATTTCTTAGCTCGCTCTACGCTCGCGTATACGGATTCATTCGCGGTTTTACGCGATTGCGCCAATTGACGTGTATCCGCTTTCGCTGGTCGACGATTTAATAATCGGATCGAGTTGGCGAGGTACAATAGAAGTGCGAAGAAATGAAAATTCGAAGCGAAATTCTATAATAGATATCTATTTTATAATCTATAATAATGATTCTAATTCCATAATAGATATCCATGATTGCTATTATATGATAGATTTGTTTGAAGAATTAAATTGTCAAAATTGAGTAAAAAATTGAGAAGATAGTGGTGCGAATTTTCTGACCGAGAAAAGATTCATTTGAGAACTGTATTATTTCACATAAGTTTGCTACGTTATTACATTGTTATGTATTTAAAATATTTATGATCTCCTTTCTCTTTTGTTTTTCGAAATATTACTTATTGAGATTTTTTTATGAGATACAATCTATTCCGTTCATTCCACCCGTAACGGTACTGTTTTAGAATTTCATTATCAAAATTCAATAAAGAAAATGAGAAAGTAATGGTGCGAATTTTTTTCAAGAACTGATTCGTTTAAGAACTTTATCATTTCATAAGTTTGCTACATTGTTACATTATTATGTATTTAAAATATTTATGATCTCCTTTCTCTTCTGTTTTTCGAAATATTATATAGATTTCTTTATGCGAGACAATTTATTCCGTTCGTTCCGCCCGTAACGGTATTGTTTTAGAATTTAATTATTAAATTCAGTAAAAAATTGAGAAAGTAATGGTGCGAATTTTTTTTGTCAAGAAGTGATTCGTTTAAGAATTTTATCATTTTATATGTTTGCTATATATATTTTTACATTATTTTGCATAAAAAATTTATGATCTCTTTTCTCTTTTGTTTTCAAAATATCGCCCAGATTCAGTGATTTCTTTACAAGAGATTATCTCCGCTTATTCCGTCTGTGCCGGTATTGTTTTAGAATTTAATTATCAATATTCAGTAAAAAAATTTGAGAAAGTGATGGTATTGTTTTAGAATTTAAAAAATTTGAGAAAGCAATGGTATTGTTTTAGAATTTAATTGTTAAGATTCAATAAACAATTGAGAAAGTAATGTGAATTTTTTTTATCAAGATTTTTTATCAAGAAGAGACTCGTTTGAGAACTTTATTATTTTAATGAATTTAAAAAGAAATAATAGGCTCCTTTATTATTTTACATGCTTACTGTATTGTTACATGACTGTGCATTTAAAAGAATTCACGATCTCCTTTCTCTTCTGTTTTTCGAAATATCGCCCGGATTCAGTGATTTCTTTACGAGAGACAATCTATTCCGTCCGTTCCGCCCGCGACGGCGGTTTTTGCTGGATATACGTTCGTTCCACCACGTAACGGATGGACCCCAGTTGCGCTAGCTCGCGATCACCGCCGCCGCCGCCGCCGCCGCGGACTCGTCACAGGCCATTGCCTCGCGATTACGGACCTCCCTACCTTCGCCTTCTACGCCGATTGCGCGCGCGCTCGGCATTATCGTTTTCTTCGAGGGAAAGTGAACGAGGTGCGACGCAATAATGCTTGCGCGTCGGTCCGCCTGACCGACGGCCGCTGCAACGCCACCGTGGAATATCATTGTGATTAATTCGCGATTATCCGCGAAACTTCTTTCTTCCCACGCCGCGCGACCCATCCCGTCTCGCGATGCCGATTTTTTTTCCGTACGAAAAGTTTGAAGCCGCGCTTCGGACGGATGCGCTATCGGTTAGCGAGAATCAATGAGTTCGTTGGAATTTAAGATAGGAATTGCGAGAGAATGATGAATAGTATATACATGAAATTATAATGAATTATGATAAGGTTATGAATAGTGAATAGAGGAACGGTCGCAGCTATTTCAAGCTAATGGAAAATATCTCTACATTAAGTTTTATGCGTCTACAATAAGACTTAAGACTTAAGGTTTAAGAAAATTGACCAATCACAATCGATTATTCTTCTCACGTGAGATGAATAATCGACTAAGATTGATCAATTTTCTTGAATCTTAAGTCTTAAGTCCAGGCGCGGATTTACGTATTTTGCCGCTTGGGGCTGAAAAGTAGCTGCCGCCTCTTGTACAGATAGTGAAAATTAAAATTTTTATAAGAAATGCATAACGCGATCTGAACCTCAGCCGTACGCCGCCGCTGAAACGCGGTCCTGCGGCACGAAGCGCCGCGACAGGCGGCAGAATCGGCACGACGCGCCGGGGCGCGTCATGTCTCCATATTTTGCCGCCCCTATATTTTGCCGCCCTGGGCTATAGCCCATTAAGCCCCTATAGTAAATCCATCCCTGCTTAAGTCTTATTATTGACGCCGCTTTAGTCGGAGAACACGTAACGTTTCTTTTCTAGTATCCTCGGTAGTTTGATTCAATTATCGATAATCAATCTAGAGATGTGCAGATTCCATCACGACGAGGTTCTCTTCGGTCTCTTTGACAAGAGGTTTTGTAATTGATTATATTTTGAAAAATTTATATTACCGGCTGAAGAAGACTTGAAAAAGTCGAAACGTTCCGCTGTAATCGAATAAAATTATATAATCATATTACAACATCTTTGTCTGCTCGTTTTATTGGCCTTTATAGTCTCTAGTTTCAATTTTATTGTAAAATAAAACGAGCCAATGTACAATTTTACTTGGAAAATATCTCATCGACGTCTGACACTGAGCTTGAAATTTTTTGGCTCCATTTACGCCGGCCGTTCTCTCAAGACATCTCGGTTTCAAGGCATGTCTTTCCCTTTCTTTGCGGAACGGAATAGCGGTCTGGCGGCGCGGAAAACGATCGGGGGGGTGTCCATTAGGCCCGCACGTTGGCTAGGCATTTTGTAGCCACTGGTGGTCTCACTACCGTCTTACCGTGTAATTAGATCGAACGCGGGCCGGAGATCAGCGTGTTTTGCAATAAGAGCGAAATATCCGTTTCGCTCGCGACGGCGAACGAAAGTTTCAGAACGCGAACGGAGTTTCGATGGAGAACGCTTGCATTGCTGGTTCCAGTCTTATCCGCTATTTTTTTGTCCGACAAATCAAGAATCGTTTATTATTTTCTTTGTTAAACATTTTTCTCGTAAGACAGCTTTCTTATACGATATGTATGATATAAAGCTTTCATCTCTGAAACACTTAATTTTCACGTATAACCGCAGCTTAAAATGCGAAATTTGGAAAAGAATTTTTTATAAATGCAAATAAATTAAAACGCAAAAACTATAGATTTTTAAAATTTATCTTTCATAAAAATGCACAAATTATACAAATATTATACATAATTTATGAATAATTGAAGCCAACGTTGATATATGACTATTTTTATATCTTATCTATTTCGCTCTAAATGTCGCTTTTATTTTTTTACAGCTGTTTCACTTATTATTTTATTTTAATTATTTGTTATTAGTTATTATTTCTGTTATTTTTATTTTTATTATTTTTTATTTGAAATTATTATTATGTATCGAAATATTTTTTATACTGATTGTGCAATTTAATTGTATTGTTTTGCTTAGCGCTTGAGAGGACTAAGTTTCTAGAGCGCTCAATAAATAACGATATCCATTTAGCTAAATATATTTAAAAGTTAATTAAAATATCTCTTTATGCAGTTGAAAATATTTTAATATATTATAGGACTGATACATGTATGCTTATGACGCGTAGACACGAAAGGCACGAGGCCACCAGACTCGACTAAATCGAAGATAGTTACGTATTCGTGCCAGTCGCGGCCTCCTCGCGGTGATATATGGTCGCAATCTCTGCTGAATTTTTATTTCGCGGGATGCGCCGTTCCTATATCGTCGATGCCATCCGTTATCGACGTGTCGCAAGAACGGAGGATTGGGAATTGGACAGGAGTCGTGAGTCACGACTCCTCCGGGGGATCGTCTCCAACTTGGCAACGGCATTAAACCGCCGGTTAAAAAGACGCAACCGTATGCAATTATCCCTTGCTCGCGTGCGGCACACGGCATTTTGCAAATTGCAGACGCAGCGCCGATTGGCGCACCGTGTCGCCGTCAGCGTCACGGATCTGTGACTCATTGCCCGTCGCGGGCAAATAGATAGTGTGTACATTCGATAGCGTTTAAGCAAATATAACGGTCGTAGCGTTCAGGCTCGAGCAGACAAGGCCGCAGGTCGTAGAGTCGCGCGTAAGCCGCCTATATTTAATCTCCCTCGTCGCGCGATTAAAATCCACATCTGGAAACTTGTGCGCCGCTCTAAATCGCGAGGGTGTCGATCTGACGTGCTCGGTAATGAAACTCGTAACGCGGTCTAAAATAAATGCCAAAGTGCTTTCAAACATATCCAAACGATTCGCATTCGCGGCCCCTCGGCTTGTATTCGGAGTCGTCCGTTCGGTACCACGCTTGCATGCACCATGAGCAGCTCGGCCGCGCAGGAAGCGACGTCCGCGAGGCCCGTCTCGGGCCGCAAAAAACCGTCCGGCCCGAGTGTGACTCATCCACAAACTCGAGAGACTTCAACGCGCGCGTTTCCGCGAGCACCGGTATTTCTGGCTGGCGGCGTATTTGTGTTACACGGCGTCGTATCAACGCCGTAAAAAAAAAAAACTCGCAACTGGAGCGGCGGCGGCACACGTCGTCGTTGCTCGGCGAACGGGATGTCGTGATTCATGTCGTGAGCCAAGTCGCGAGATGCAATCGCCTTATAGATGCGCAGGAGCAATGCGGCGTTCTCTCTTGACAGGCCACCCGGTTGGATCTGCAACTGCTTGATTTCGCAAAAAAACAACTAGTTTCTCAATTTTTATAATGGCTTTGTTTTACACAAGAAACGAATATAAATATTTTATTACATTTTTAAAACCTTCCTCCAGCTACCTTTGTTAATACCGATTCTGCATGACGCAAATCTGCATGCTTCTGACGCAAGCGATTGATATCTTTATGCAGACAACAATTAACAGAGAATTGCAGATGAATGTTTCAACATTAAACATGATGCGTACTTTGGTTAAATAATATAAGTCGATTTAAATGATTCGCGATTAATCAGTATCTGGCCGAATATTGTTGATTAGCGGAGCGCTCTGATAAAACTAATTTACTCGTATTTTGTATACCCAGCGAAAAATTCTCGTCCCGACCTCCGTAACCGTCGAGCAATACGTCTATTGTTCGTTGGCCTTCCGTGCGGGGACTTTGGGGATCGGTGAACTGTAGACCTGCGGGCATGCCGGCGATCGGTCGATGAGTAACCATGGGAGACCAAGGCCGTGCCTTCCGACTCGATAAACTTCACCGACAACACAAGCCCTCTTGTACGCGAAAACAAACTGTTTTCTATATGAACACTCTACATACTTCATATGATAATCGGAAAGTAGTCTGACGACGATCTGCCAGATTCTTGATAGATGATAGAACACACATACACACATTCAAGCTTTATCTGCTGATATATTCAAAACGAGAGTATAATTTTAGTGCTGTCAGTATGGATCTGTGTAACTTCATTTTGATATTGGAAATATTTGATTGATATTGGTTTAAGTCCAAACAGTAATTAAATCATGATGCGTGCGTGCTTATTGTCACAATGATACTTTATCAAAGTTAGACTGCATCTGCGTTAACCACTTAATCTTATCTTATCGTTATCGATCATCGTTTTAGTCAGGAAATACATGATAAAATAAATCTTGATATCTTAATAATCTTGATTGTAACACGATATATATGATTTAATACCGCGATTATATTGTGCCACGAATGCATTTACGGAAAGAACGATTTTGCTGGAAGGTAAACAAAAATTTGGATCTGAAAATAATTCTATTGGAAACTCAAAAATGATAAGCGTTGCTGTAAAAAGTTTGATATTCTAGCAATCAGTTTGACTTTTCAACAAAATTATTTTGACGATTCAACAAGAATTATCTTCTGTATTCAGTAAATTTTTTAGATCTTCCAGCAAAATCATTCTTTCCACGTTCAGCAATATTAAAAATGTTGGGAGAAAAGTATCGAAACTTACTTGAAAAATCGCGTTGGCAAAGCGAGAGGCACAAAGTATATTATCTCGTACTTTTGCACACTCAGGGAAATGTTTCACTGTTCCAGCTAGAATTCTAAATATTACACTGAAATTATATGGCTGTTTTTTGTATCTGCTAAAAAATTGTTTGTCATACGTAGAATTTATAGCAGCAATATTCTGAGAATATATGCAAGAAAATATAGGTCTAATAACCAAATATAATTGGAGTCTGGACTGATTAAACGTCATAAACTTTCTTGTTAAATTTGACAAATAGTTCAAATATAATTTCTGCCTCTGTTATCTACATTGATTACAAAACATATGTGGTATCGCAGTGTTTACTTATCCGTTTTAATTTTTCTAAATAATTCTCGCTACAATTGCAAAATTACTTTTTACTTTTATCAAACTTTTACCAAATTACTTTTTTCAGTGCAAAATTATGTTACACTTTGTAATGCGATTGCGCAAACGTCGCGGCTTTTTAGTAATGCGTAATTAACAGGATTGCCTCACAGTCCCAGTAAATGGAGTTAATTAATACTAACGTTTCATTTAGAATTCCGTATTTTCTTTTTCTCGATTGTTACGTCTTGTTACCGGTCGCGGAGCGCGTTATCGAGCATCGCGTTGAGAAACTCCACGTGGGAACAAAGCGATTCACGTGTGTGGCCATCGCTCGCCGTGTGTATCCGCAACGAAACCAGTTCTCGTATCGCGTATCCTTTTGTTATGCACAAATGCATCGTGTTCGCACCTTTGTCGGCCGAGATTTTTCCAAACGATCTTACGTGCCGAAGTACAAATATTTCAATCTTTTTTCTCTTGTATGTATTCTCTCCTTCTCTTTCCGTTTCTCTCTCTCTCTCTCTCTCTCTCTCTCTCTCTCTCTCTCTCTTTGTTTTTCTCTCAATTACATACAAGTCGGATCTTCTTCTCCGTTTAGTTTCACTAGAATCCGCGATAATTCGATAATTGAGATAAATACTGTTTCGCGATGTACCTTTTACTTTTTTTTAATCTTGGAAAGCGCGCCTGGTCTTTAAAGAAAAGAAAACTGAGGTAGTCGGCTAAACGGTCAAATTGTGCGTCTAATTGTATGTTAATAAATTTGCGCCTCCTTTCACCGAGTTCTCAAACTTTTATCTAATTACACCATCTTGATCTCGCAGTGCATAAAATATGAACGTCGAGAAACGTAATTTATGTGTATACTGACTCACGCCGCGCCGGTTTCTTTTTTTTCTCCCGGTTCACGAATGACGCGTTTCGTGCGCGGTGCGCGACGTAAGACACCGGTTTCGCGAAAGGCACAGCCAGCGGACTCCTTGTGCCAGAAACCTTTCAAATGCTAAGATGACTTTTCGGTGCGGAGATCGCGGAAGCTATATAAGCATCGTTCGATTCGGCACAGGCACGACGAAATTAATTATTAATCAAGACACGAACTCGTCGTGCAGATCGCTAATCAATTCTTTCCTATGCGCAGAGTTTGGAGCAGGAGAGGCATCTGCTGCGAAGGAGACTCGAGGAAGCGAGGGATGAGAGCGACGCGAGGGCCTCCGAGCTCCAGGCCGACGTGGAGAGCCTCAGGAGCCAGTTGGAGGAGCAAAACGAGAGGGCGAGGCGAGCGGAGCGCGACCAGGCCACCCTCGTCGCGGAGCTGACGGCGCAGAACACGAGGCTGGCCGATCAGCTGAGGGAGGGTGCCAAGCAGGAGGAGCAGTTGCTCCTCGAGGTGAAGGTGCTGAGGGAAAAATGCGCTCTCAGGAGCACCACCCTGCAGGATCACGTCAGCAGTCTGGAGATCCTCAGGGACGAGGTAATATAAAACGTGATTTTTTTTAAATGATAATATCTTGATCATACCTCATCATGCATCATCAGTGCGTAATTAACTCCTTTTTTTGCATATAAAAACTCGACTCTTTTCCCCTCTCTATATTCGCTAACGAATTTCTTGCCGGGATTTCCCTCTCGTCTAATTGCCATGCGCGCGCGGAGAGAACGGAAACTGTCATTATTAATCATTATCCATCGGAAGCCGAACGCGCGGCTTTCTCAGGCGGGGCCTCGCTGAATAATTCGCAGCATCCTTTTTTATTATAAAAAGGAAGCGGTAATCGCGCGGCTACGCGTTGCGTTCGCACGTGAATTTGCGCGTTACAATCTCTGGGAAAGCTCTATCATCGGATAAAAATGAACGTGACCCTCGGGCGGTCGATCTAACTCGCCTCGTTCCGTCGCCCTTTCATTTCGCCTTACAATGGCATTACCGGATGTCGGCTCTCACGAATCGTGCGTAGCTTAATTGAATTAGAGGCGTATAGAAATATTCAATGTAAATATGAGATGTATATTCGCGACTTGCTTATATATTAATTTTATGTCACCCGCACGTTTCGTATTTCTAACTTCAAGCAGACTTGAGAAGTAAAATTGAAACTTGAGCCAAGATCGAACGGAGAAATGACCGCGATACGAGAAATCGCTGTCAGTATATCACGCATGTCGTATAAGTCTCGCACGCTTTGTCGTTTCAGGTACAACTGGTATCCGCACAAAGGACCGAGTTAGAGAGGCGGTCCTTGGAGCTGCGCGAGGAGAGGGCCAGTGCGATCGCGGCCCTCGAGGAGGCCGAGGAGAGAGCCACGGCCTTGGAGCGGCTCGGCCACGAAGCGGAACACCGCGCGAGAGTGGCTGAGCAGGAGAGGTGAGGCCCAGAATCCGCGGATCTGTACACGTGGCCATTATGGGTTCGGTTGGCACACGGGTGCAACGCTCGATTGAGCACGATCCAGTTAGATCTTTCCGAATTCCGCGACGTTTCCCAAAATTCATCCCCACGTGACGGGGTCGCATCTTCATCGAGTAAACGCGGGATGTCGAGCGGATAGTACCATTCGTATTTGTATTCGATATTATTTTCTGCGGTACCCATTTTGTACCTACTTCACATTTGAGATGTTAAAATATTCCGTCGGTCACCAAACGTCAACAGGCGTTTCTTGGTCAGTTTCGCTTTTTTTTTTTGTACGTCACATTTCTTCAACCACGCAATATACGTGTCTATTACCTTCAGGGACGAACTGGCGTCAGCATTGGCGGCTATCGAGGCAGAAAGGAGAGTCCGGTCCGGCTCGATACAGAAACCACCGCGGTCCCTGCAAGCGGAGATGGAGTGCGAGGAGAGCGGCAGCTCGCTCGGGGAACAGGAGGACGGGGGTCTGAGGACGGAAGTCACGAGGGCGACGAAGCGACTCAGGGAGCTGTGCGCCCACCTTAGACGCGGCGAGGACGACTCGGGTCTGCAGAGCGACTGCGACGAGTCCATGCTGGTGATCAATCTCAACAACTCCGAGGCGGACGTGGGCACCAACGAGCGGGAGTCTCACCCTTCGCCGGTGAGCAGCCTTCTCCTAGCATCATTTATTGTTTATTACAAATATATAACGTTAATTTTAAATATCTAGTCAAAAAAGGATCTATTGTTAATTTTAATCACTTTCTCTTCATAGACGAATTGTCCGGGTGCGCTGATAGAGTTGGTCGAGGAGGTGTACAACCTCGCGCTGTCGGGCAGAGGGGCACCAGGCGAATTGGGACTGGCGGTGGAGCTTCACAGGGTACGGGAAGAGCTGGATAATTCTCGGGAGCAGTGCAGGATACAGGAGGAGGAGCTGAAGCGACGCGGCGACACCGTTCTGGACCTGACGAGCAAGCTGAGCGTCTGCGAGGCCGAGCTGCGCGGCGTCAAGGAGGAGCGCGACAGGGCGAGGGGTGACATGGAGCACTCCGAGCTCACGAAGGACGAGATCGTGGCGAAGGCTTACAAGGTGCGCGATCAAGCGGTCGCCCGGCAGAACAGGGTGGAGGTGGAGCTGGCCAGGACGCGGATAGACATCCTGCAGGCGGACAGTCAGCTGAAGGAGGCGATCAAGCAGAAAGTCGAACTCAGCCAGCAGCTCGAGCAATGGCAGATGGACATGCAGGCGCTTCTGGACGAGCACGTGCGGAGCAAACTGACGCCGGCCCCGCAGATCGTCGCCACGAGGAACGGCGAGAACTCGGACGTGTCAGCGCCGGCAAGGAAGAAGAGGAGCACTGGCTCGACGAAGAAGATGTTCGGCCTGTTTTGACGAAAGTGACGCAGCGCGATGGCTTCGCTGCACTGAGCCGAGCGATCGCGACTGACCAGTAGACCTAGACTGCTGATACCTGCGCAGCCATTTCGCATAAAAGGAACGTTAACAGGACGAAAAGAGGATAAAGTGAATTTAGGTGTATTTATCTCTTTAAGGACCAGTGGTGGAGCAGCGTTCCGGACATTCTCCGCTCCGCTAAAGTCATTATAATTGATGCCACTCGCATCGCATGCGTTGCGATTTACGGACGAGCGATTGTCGAACTAATCTCAAAACTAGCGACTTTTGTATAATTAAAATTAGGAGCTCGAACCAGACCGGGACGCATCTCTGGAACTCGTGCGAATTCCGGGATCTGTCACGGTACGAATGCCGAAACATCTCGCATTGTATGACGCGTGCGAGAAACGTCCACGTTGGCTCACGGCGGGGAGCCCGGGTGTTACATCGCTGCTGACGCTCGTGTCGAAACCGTAATTCGAATTTAAGTGGCGTCGCTCGCAGAAACAGGGACGTCCGACTTTCTACGATTCCTCAACCGGGGAAAGTCGCGGAACCCCCCTCCCCCTCCCCTCCTCGTTCTTCCCGAAACGCGTTCACGCGCGGACTCGACACGCGTCCAATATTGTCGCCCCATCATATTTTTTCACCTTCGTCTCGATGTTTTTACGTCGACCGCTTTTTATCGATCGCGGCACGATCGATGTGATCCGGACGGACTGTCATTATCGCTCATCTGATTGAGTAGACTGTTCATGCGAAAAGTATTAATAGCATAAAATTGCGTTGCGGCGCCGATCGTTAATGTAGTCAGCGAGACGGACAAGTCCATCTTGTCGAAAAAAAAAAAAAAGAAAAGAGAGTCGTCGCTAACGTTCCCTCCCCCGAGAAATTAAAGTCCCGTTACGAGCGACGTCTTTTCTCTCCCCGACAGATAAATTTTCGACACGTCCAACTGACGTTTCTAGCTCAGGGAAATTTTTCGCGCTCCTCTGCAATTTCGCTCTTTCATCGCCGCTCTTTCTTCATCGCCCCGCTCTCGAAAGATCCAGATGAGGGATGCGCCAGATGATCGGCTGCGGCACCAACGAAACGAGATTGACCGGTCACGGTCTTCACGCGGGGAGACATTGATCGACCGAGAGGTGAACGAAAGAACGCGAAGGTTTAATGTCCCGACAAGACTGATTACGGTCGGCAGCCGTTTTTTTTTTCCTCCCGCGCGCTGAAACGCGTCCTGTCATTCCCATCATCGTGGAACGAATCGTTCGCCACGGTAAGAACGATCTCCGAGTGGAAACTCCTTATTTCGAAACGGCCCCCGCGAGCGGCTCGACGAATAATGAAACGAGCAGGAGTCGCTCGAGTGCACCCTCGCTCCGTTTCTTTCCGCGACGCGGGGGGAATACCGAATTCCTCTCGATAATGAAACATTGTGATACGCTGTGTCTTACGTTATAGAATCGAAGAATGTCGTGCGCGCCTTCTGACGCGTCACTCCTCCGTAACGAATCGACGCGACGGTCGTACTAAGAGCGAAAAGTTAAAAGAAATTTTTTTTTTTAATTTCGTCAAATCGCGAGAATGAATGATAAATCCGTAAGAAAAAACTGCATTTATCATGCATAATTATGTATTTAAAGATAGCTCTACACACACATACACACACGGCTTGGATGACTTTCACTCATCGAATTACTCGACCGCGAATTCTTAATGTCCGTCCATCGTTCCGTCCGACAGGACCAATTGTTTACGCGATACAACGAGAAGGGGGAAGGATGATCGAGAGCGTTTGGAGATGAAAGTCGACCGATCCAGCCGTTGATTGATACCTTAACGCGACGATAGTGCAATATCACTGGAATATTTTTACGACGATTAATATCGAATCGAACGAATTGCAACGACTGCTCCTTAAAAATCCTGCGGACACTCGCGTGAACGATCAGTCCTGAGGAGCACTGCGATGTATGCGTGTGACCGTTCACGTGTAGACATTGCATGACACACGTGTGTACGTGCGTTGCACGTTTTCGTAGCGAATCCTTTCTATGTATATTAGTTTCGTTCTTATGTCTTCGGGGGGCGAGCGTACCGCCGAAATTGTATGATAATTGTACAATTCTCGATCTGATCAACTACGACGACGATATTTATTTAATAAAAGTCCGTTTTACGAACGCCTTGCGTTTCTTGTCAATCCCTTACGTCCGATTACGCTTTAATTATCTAATTCAATTCAAGCAGCTTGCTTGGCGACTCTGCTTACCTCCTTTCTCGCCGTTCTTGGACGAGCCGGGAATAACGAGACACGTGAAAAGAAACAAATAGGCATTTATTCACAAGAGGCAGGTGTAGTTACAGTAGTTTCATTTCTGTCTTGCTTTTCGTATATATATGTATATATATACATATATGTGGCATATATATATATATACATATATATATATATATATACACACACATATATATCTATATATTTATAATAGTATCTTGTAACCGACCCGTAATCACCGATCGGTTCAACTACGCAATACAAATGGGCATGAACAATGGGGGCGGGTGCATACAAAGTGTTTGTCCTCTCGCACACGAAACGCGCCGTTTCTACTCCGTTTCGCCTTCTCCTCCTTCACGCGGTTTATTTTTCTTTTTTTTTTTTTCTTTAATTTTACTTTAAGCGCAGCGAGATTCCACTTTATAAAATTCTGTGTACGTATATTCGTGGGTTGCGTGTGGTGTGTCCTCAGATAGAATCTCGTTGCCGCCGTTTCACGCTTGCACGCCGCGATCCGCCGCGTCCCGATCCCGGCGAATCGCTCTAAAAATTCGCGGACGTACTCGGAACCCGGATGTCCTCCGTTCTCCGCTTCTCCCTAAATTAAGTGCTTCTCGCGCGGCACCTCGGGCGAGTATCGTTCAAAGGAGAGTTGGTTCCGGTCGCCCCGCAACGGGGGGGGGTTTAAGTACACAACGCGCAACCACGCTGCACGCCAGGTAGGAACCGACACGATCGCCGATATGATTCGGTAAAGGGAAGGAACTTCTCTTTTATCTCCAACTTTAAATCTCGGCGATTACCCGATCCTCCCGCACCGGTGGTACCGGTATCGGCGATCACCCACTCTCTTCCGCACGATTCCCACCCCTTCCGCAAAGGGTGTGTCGGTGTGTGGTAACAATATATAATATATATATGTATGACAATATACGACGACGGCGGCTCTTTAAATTTGTCCCCTATAGTGAACGCGACGATGACGTGTGATCATGACAACAATGTAATAACAATGAGGCTTTTAGCGGCGATAGCGATGAATAATCATATAGGAGTTAAAATCCGTAATCAATTCGTAATAATGTGGCGAGTCGTCGCGCGACGCGAGTCTCGTCGAATGTAAAGCGCTCTCTCCTCGTTTTCGAAACGTATAATCAGTAGAGCAATTAGTGTAAAGGTATAGAAAGAGAGAATATTCTTCTCAGGGTAGAGAAAGAGAGACAGACAGAGAGAGAGAGAGAGAGAGAGAGAGAGAGAGAGAGAGAGAAAGAGACACTATAATTATCGATGAAGCAATCGTGTTTCTTTTGTGCAGAACAACTCTTCTATCAAGTAGATTCGCATCTCTTCTTCGTTAAGGGTATTACATGTCACGGTAAATACAGTAAGGTTCGCTATGCTATGTCAATTATAAGTGGCTCTTGTCGTGGCTCTTTCGCACCACCTGAAACCCACCCCCTTCCCCCCTCCACCCCCCTCCCAAGACCGCCCCATCATTAGAGATTATTTTCCCTCCTTCCCCCCCCCGGTGACACGACGTGTCAACACCTATATAAAGAGACAGTTAAGCTATGCGCAATTTGTGTGTGAGAGTGTGTTTAAGTTCTTTCCTCTTCCATACGTACGCGTCTGTACACACTGTGTGTGGCTGTATCTACTTGGGATGCGTGTACGCGTGTATGTGTCTGTATAGGCGTTATGCGAGTGTGTGATCGGCACGTGTGCGGTGCGATGACGCTTCCGTGTGATTTGTGTGTCCGTTGCCCGTTGAATTCCATAGCTTCGGCATTTACTCTCTCTATCTCTCTCTCTACACGTGTACATCCATTTATTTACAGCCACACCATCTGTCAAATTCCTCTCGCGCGCTTCTCGAGGCTGCTCTCCCTCCGGGAGAGCGAAAAAAAAAAAAGAAAAAAAAGGGAAAAAGCAAGGGTGGGAGACGCAGGAGACGCGGCGGGCGGGGTATCGCGCTCGCGAAGAATCTCCCGCTCCCGCGAATCTTCGAGATAGGGTCAGTATGGGATTCGCGCGATTCCCAGGAGCGATTCGACTTCGCCGAACGAGGATTTATATACCGCTCCACCGCGACCTCCTTCGATCCCACGTTCCCCGCAGACTCGCGACACCGCTGGCGATTTCTCTCCCGAGTTCACTGTACAACGCGACGTTGCGCGACATTTAAATTCGCCCCCGTTCGCGTTAATCTCGCGATTCTCTCGCGAAACGAAAGAAGAAAGGATCTCGCGACGATGGTGTGATGGATAAAGAGAGAGAGAGAGAGAGAGATATCGCGATGAACTATTTACATAATAATATAATCGCCCTCCCCGATCAGCACATATATCTCATGCATACTCATTCTTTCACGCACACTCTCCCGCAACGCTCTATTATATTTCGCCTATCCTTCTTCCCGCTTTTCTCTCGGTGTGTTATGTTTTTTTTTCTCTTACTTATAACGCTACATAGAAATATCTTCGTTCTGGGTCCCGCACAACTTTGTATCTCTCGCAACGACGATGACTCGTACGACGTGACCGTCCTCGCAAGGACGAGGAACTGCGTTCTCTGAATGCCATGGGGAAAGGCTTGTCTCTCGAGGAAAATAGGAGGATGCGATTTCAGTGGCTCACAATCCCACATCGCGTTCGATTTTTCTCTACATGTATAACCGTCGATAAGCGCCACTTTCGGATTTATTTCGGGGAGATGAAATTTGACGAACGATTTAAGGTGATGGTTTTATCGCGAAATGACTTTTCTTACATGTAGAAACGTATCGTTTTTTTTTCCCGACATTTGAATATTTTTCAAAAAGTTTATAAATAACATTCATAATACGCGTAGAGATTAGTTTCAATTCGAAAGCAAGCAACTCGTATTTTCGGTATACTTAGAATGTTTTTCTCACTTTTTTATCGTAATAAATTACATAAATATACTTTTTAATGATATCATTTAATGTTACGCTTGTTTTCGTTGAATTGTTATATGTGAGGGACTAACTTCTGACTGGGACTTGCGTGATGAAACCATAAAACCACCTTAATTCTCAAAATACCAAACTACCTTCTTTTTTTTACAATCACCGGATAAAATTATAATTGGATCGAAATCAACGGAGGATCGATTACAAATTAGGGGCGTGTATTAAGAAGCTCGTGCTTCCTCCAGCAAACGTCTAAGCTTTCCATTTAACGTTCCGTCCACCAGCAAACAGCGGTGAGTCTTCTTCACGCATCAATCGCCATCAGTATGCACGCGTGCAAATGTATACATGTATCGTGGATTCGCGTGTGGTGCGATGCGATCGGATTTTATACTAGTGGGTTACCACCGAAACGTGCCCGAACCTACCAGTTCCCCAGCTATCTAAATTCTATTCGAGATAGCGGCGATCGCTAGTGCGAAGTGCAATCAAATGGGCTTGTGTACATGTTCCTACGTATATGGGACGTGTGTGTGTGTATGTGTGTCTAGATGCCGTGAGAAGTCTTCGCCGTTTTCTCGTGTTAACGACGTTTCCGGTTACGAGCGTATAAACCACTCGCGTGTGCATCTTTCTATCGACTGCGGTTAGCGATCGGAGAAAAATTGCGGATGGCCTGATATGCATATGATTTTTTTTTTCAACTGCAATTCGTCGTGCTACGATGCGCCTATAGCGGGTAACAATTATCATTTAGCGTTTGCATTTACGAGGATAACATTTATCGTCGGCGATAATAATTATTGACACCGCGGTTGTTGGCGGTTTAACAGTTATCACCGCGCTTCTTCCGGGTGTTGCGTAAAACGTGTTGTTGCGCGTACAACGACCGACTGTGATCGCGCGCGTGGCTTCGATGCGCCCCACTGATCTCCCTCGCCCAAGTGCCGTTCCTCCCCCCCCCCACCCCTGGTTGAAGTCTAAAGGACGGTCGCGGTATAAGTATTTGTCGTATCGGCTTCGTGATCTCCGAGGTGCTGCAAAGCTCTCCCCTAAAGCTCCTATTTAATTCGCCATAAAAAATAAACTCCCTATTGGCCGTCGTGTTAACGTGCGCGTGCGCGCGCGCGTGTGTGTGTGCTTGCGGGGTGTCTCCGGACCAGTCGCGCTCGATTGGCGCGCCATTTGTTTAATTTACACCGTCAAGTTAATTGATACGAGTGTCAGATTGATGCGGACTAAGTATCTGATACGTTCACCGATTCATTTCAAAATAAATTACGTTAGGTTTTTCACTTGACAAAACTTCTAATTTTAATTTTAACCGCAGCAACAACGGATTTAATCCTATTCAAAACAAACTAAGTGCTTACCGCGCGCCAGGATCTCTTGATACGCGCACCATTTTGGTCTGATATATTAGCGATTCAGGAGTATCAGACCAGACCATAATAAGATAATCCGCGAACGTTTATAAATGACCGTATCAAGCGATTTGATACGGATTTGGTGCGCGTATCAAGTGCTCGACTGTAAACTAAGTAATTGCCGAAATAAGAAAACGCGACGACGTCCGCGGGACACCCGGGTCGCGGTGCTGGGCCTGCGTGTATACGTACGTGTGTACATGTGTATGTATATATATATGCGCGTGCGGGCGGAAATGCACTCTCCGCACTCGTGTACACGCGTACTCCGATGCGATCCGGTCGTCGTCCTCTCGTCTCGCTTCTCTAATCTGTATATACCCGAGGATTACACACGCACGTGTGTATGTGTGTGTACCTGTTGTGTTATATATATTATATTTATATATATATGCAAGCTCTCTATGGCTCCCCTCGAATCATCTCGAATGCCTTCGCGGATATACACTTACTACTACGCTAATTGCAGAGCTCATTCACTCTCTCCGACACGCACACAACTTGATTCGCTCGCGAGATCCCATCGGCGGGCTCCTCCTCCTCCTCCTCCTCCTACTCCTCTTCCTCCATCCCTCTCGCTCGAGCGAGCGAGTCGATTTAAAACTTAGCGCGACAATCACCATCTTGTATATACAGACAATTTTACTGCTCCTCGAACTCTTCCGATTCTTTCTTCTCCCCGTGTCCCCGCCTCGCTACCTTCCCCCTGAGCTCTTTCCTCCCTACTGATTTCCTGCAAATGCGTTGCCCGCAAGCTGGTATACGCTGCCCCCTAAGAAATTTCCGCGCACAGGATCGACGCGTCCCCGATGTCGTCGCTGTCCCTCGAACGGAACGCAAATTCGCGACACCCTCCCCTCCCCTCCCCTCCTTCGTCGGACTCATTGCGTTAACATACATAACATCATATCGACATAAGTAAGCGTAGTCCACTATAGTTGTGGGTATTGGTATAGCACTCTGCGCAACTCTTCGCGAAATTCAGTCGTTTACGTTGTAAAGAGAATATCCATTCGCTCTACCGGCCGCCTCCCGGCACATCAGGCTCCGTTCCCCCCCTCCCCCACGTTTCTCTAGGGGTTGCTCTCCCAACGGGTGAACTGGATACGCCTGGTGTCCAGGGAGGGCGAGAGCAGCGACTTGAGGGACGCGCTCGGCGGCGAGCCGCCGAAGTACTTGAGTGTCAACGGCGACTGCAGATGCCTGTGTCGGATCACCTCTCGCTCAGCAGGCAGTGGCCAGAGTTCCTAGACAGTCGGGGGACTGATCTGATTATAATCCAAAATATCCAACTGCTTCGTTAAAACCTTCCCGTCCCCAACAATTATATTTATTCTTGTACAATTAGATTTATATTTCTATTTTTTTTTTTTTTCATCTAAATTTCTCGATTCAATGAAAATTATTGACAAAACTTTTTAATGTTGGGGAGAATATCTTGATAATCCGAAAGTAGTTTACCTGCAGCGAGAGAGCCTCGTCTCAGGACTCGCCCTGCTTGTTCCTGCGACCAGTCAAAGATCCAACTAAAGACTTCAGAGTCGCGCCTAAGCCCCTGCCGCTCGGAGTGTTGAGACTGCTGGCGTTTCTGAAGCCCTGTGGATGTGCGTCCAAGCATTTCTGGTACCTCAGCTTAAACAGAAACATCCCCTTCACGTTTCCCGTTTAACTTAAGCGGATTTTACAGGGGAGGGGGGGGGGAGTCCTTGAGGGGAGGATCCTCACCTTGCAAGCGGCTTCGATCGTCTTACAGAGGGCTCCGCTGCTGGGCTCACAATTGAAGACGTGTGCGATGAACAAGTCCTGTGCGGTGTGCATAATGAAAGCGCATTGCTTCACGTTGTGGCCGATACCGAGGAACGACAGATAGCGTACTCGACATTCGGTGATGAGCTTGTCGTCCTGAGAAGGATTACAATCGTTATATATGCGAATAGTTGATTGCACTTTCACTTAATTTTTCGTGTCCCTTAATTCACTCACATTCGGCGTAAGAATGGAAATCATGCTAGGAGCTACGGCGACGTTGACGTTTCGCCACTGATTGATCGGCGTGTTCGTCACGATATGTTCTATCGCCTCGTTCAGCACTTCCATGCCGGTCGCCTGATTGACTTGCATGGATCCGAGATACTGCGCTCGCAACACCTTCTTCGGTTCTTCCATCGGTGTTGGGAAAGATTGTGCTGCGCAAAGATATAATTATTTACATCTTTAATATAATATAATAATTATTTTTTAATATTTTAAATATTCTACAATTATTTAACTTTTTGAATATTTATTTGTCGTCCAAGTAGTTATTATAATTTATTAGAGTCAGATTTCTAATTCTTGAATCCGTCTTTAACAATTTATTGTACAAAATATTTTTCTATAAATGTTATTTCGTAAAATTTATGTGTTTGTGAAAACGTCGTGTTTTCGTAAAACAATGAAGTATTTGATTTCGAGGATAAGCGAGAGATCTAATTTATTTTGGGGCTACTTACTGACTAGTGCCTGACCGTTTCTGTGGAAGCGCCGATGTTCAGTGGGCAGATTCGTGGGTCTCGTAGCGAGACTCGTCCGGCCGTTGATGTCCACCGGTTTCGCGAGATTCTGATGCTGGGAACGCTCGATCATTATCTTCTTGCAAATGTCGCGGAGCGTGTTTGCGATCGTGCGCGCCGGTATGTCGCAACGAAACACATGGCACATGTGTTTCCTGGTCGATCGGTCTCTTGCTACGTAAGCAAAGTCCCTGAAAGTAATACGGCACTTGAGAATCGAATGTTTGTCAGACCGAGAGTTTTCTCTCCAACTTTATTTTATTTTATTTTACACTTTATCTTACGGGATAATTTATATCGTTGTATATCTTACCTTTCGCTGTTAGATTCGTCCAAAGAAGAAGCATTCATGAAAAAAAATGCAAATATATTAATAAAATAAATAACATTCTTTTGAAATTTATTTATATAAAGATTGCAAAATTCAGATTTCAAGAAATTGTATATTCCAACGAAAAATTCAGCGTATCGCGATTAATTTGAACGCAATTAATAATTCACTCACCGACAGTGGTCTCTTCCTACGCCCCACACTCTGACTGTATGAATAGGCTGTGTGTTAAGTACGGTGAGATTCTCCGGATCGATTAGCTTCAGCGCGCCCTCGTCCAAGTCCATAAATAGATCCTTGCCCTGAAATATTTCGTAATATATATCTCACATCGTGTTCTTACTGCGCAGCAAAATCAAAATTGATATACGCTGGCCATCTAAGGGACTAAAATTCTTAAATGTGCTTTTGCAGATCATATCGCTTATCTTATCATTTCTAATAAACATAAGTACATTAAAGACTTCGATCATCTTTCTAATGTCCGTATATTTTTAAATTCACAATTAATAATGTCGGATTTATAATCTATTTAGTTTTTAAAGAAACTTACATCGCCCCACCGTCCGACGACGTCCAGAAGATCGTTTCTACCAAGTGAGAGATCCACGATGCACTTGTTGACAGCCTTGCTGCTTCTCTCGGGTGTCAGATCCTCCTCCGCGATCTCCGTCCAGCCCAAGGATCGCACGGCGAATCTGATCGGCTTGTCCCTACCCTCGGAGTCCGCTCTGGCAGGATAGCTTCTTCGTCTGAGGCAAAAAAAAAAAAAGAAATAAAGGTGACTCGGCGGCAATCGTTGCAAAAAGAACTGCGAATCCAATCGGGGATTTGCTTACTTGAGCGCTAATTCCACCTTCCTCTTGTTTTCCAATTCCTGGTCCAGGGCCGAGCTCGTGTTGCTGCGAGTCACTGTGTTCACCATACCGCTTAAAGTGTGAAAATTGTTTATCTGCAACGTTAACAATGCAAACCAAAATTACGATGCGGAACGGAAGGTTGCGAACTAATATACATGACACACACACACACACACACAATGCATATCATATAATCTTGATAACGTGCATATTTTTACTAATAATTTATGTTCGAGTATAATAACAATAAAATATGTATAATTATATGTTTTGACAGATTATTTATTTTACTTACGCTATCATTATCCTTAACGAGGCTTCGGCGGGCCTCGGTTTTCGAATGCAGAGGAGCCTCCGGTGGTTCTCTCTGGATATTTCCGCTTTTCACATGCCAATAATAAGGTCCATTCTCGTCTAAAATAAATCCGACTGTTAATAAGACTCGGAAAACCACAATTTAGTTACGATAATTTCAATAATTATCGATTATCAATTTCGTCAATATACATTTATTATTAATAAAAAAAGGATATGGAAAATTGAGAAAACGAGAGCCTGATGGCAAAATTAGGAAATATTAATATCGTATTTCTGTTATAATATAAAAAAGGAATTAAGTTAAAAAAGTATATTCAACTTAATCCCTTTTTATATTGCATTATCTCAAACTTTAGCGATTTCTTTTCTACCAAGTATTATCTAAATCCCTGCCACGTTTCCGGAAACACCAGTTTGATACGAAAAATCGCACTCGCTATCGCGGACCGATAATCGTGCAGCCGAGTTTAACGTTAAATACAGGCTTTTTCCAGCACCAGTATCGATCGTCCTGCTCGAACATCCGAAACTTTTCCCGAGAAAATACTCGACTTTCGAAAACAATTTTTTAGAATCTGAAGAAGTTTCGTATTCCCTCCATTTTCATTCCGTTTTTATCCCAATATAATTAATAGATTTGACACAATTTCTCAAGATAATCAAATTTCTGATACGTAAAAAAAAAAAAAATAATAAATTTGATACAATTTCTTAAGATGATCAAATTTCTGGTAAAAAAATTGTCGCTGCTAGTATAGGAGGCAATCGAAGCAAAATTGAAGCGATTGTCTCGATCGCTTGAAGTTCCTTTCTCCTATTTGGCTCTAGGTACTCCGATAGTCCGATATCCTACCTTCGTGCTTCTGCCAGCCGGGCGGCAGATTCTCGTCCTTATCCTCGGAATCGGCGCTGTCCACGTCCGCCGGTTTCTCCTGGGTATTGTTCTGCAGAATCGCATTGTTCTTCTGGTCCTTCGGCTGCCGCCGTTTCACCGGCACCGCGTACAGCTCGCTGTTGAGGCCACCCTCCACGTGCGGCACGCCGCCCATTTCGGCGGTCTCGTTGTCGGGCTTCTCGCAGTAACTGTGGTGCAAAGCCAAGAAAAACCAGGGTCAAGAAACGGCGCGCTCTCAGTTTCGTGTCCCCGCCCCTCCCCCTCCCCATCCACTTCTCGCAAGTTCGGTTCTCGGTCGCGCTATCGCCGCGATATCCACTGAATACTCAAGCAACACAAAAGTCTAGACTCTCGGTCGAAAAGACGTCTCTATAAGGAAAGTCTCGAAGAATTTCGGACTTCCTTTAAAGAAAGTCTCCTTCCTGTCGTCCGGCTATCTCTTCAAACAAGCATATCCTACTCATACTACTTTTTATTGTCGCAATCACAAGCAGTAAGACGTACTACAGCATGTATCCTTCTTAGATACACGTGAAAATATTTCAAACTTCAGCGTTCTTTTACGTGCATTTGTGATACAGACAGAAAAGAAAAATAAAGAGTCGAAGCTCCATAGCATTAAAATTGATACAAGTGGTTACAAGAACTGCAACGGAAACAGAGAGTCACACAGGTTTCCTCAGTACAGGGAAATCAGCGATAAAATATACACAATGCAAGCTATATATATATACAAATTCCGTCACAGCGGTATGCAGATTCGAAGAAACGTCCATTTTTATCTCGGCCCGCATTGAATCCAAAAACTTTATTTAACGACGATTTACTATTCCCAATGCGACTGCGTTCGATTTGCTTTTTTAAATTCGTCTCGCAGCGATCACGAGGCGGTCACGCGACAGCGTTATCCACTGAAGTTCTCTCTCTCTCTTTCTCTCTCACCGCTCCTTCTCTCGCTTCCTACCGTTCGTTATTATATCGCGAAACGCTCCGTGGGAGCGCGATTGTGGTCGCGCGCTCGCGTGACTCTGGGGAATTCCAGTTCACGACATTTCATGGCGAATCACGATCGCCGAAATAAGCGGCTTGATTTATCGTCGTCGTTGTCCGGTCTCGCGTCCCGTCTCGCGGTCGCGAAATCGTTCGGCCGTGTCTCGCTCGCGCGAGAGGACGCGTCATCGACCAGGCGGCGGAATGGCGAATTGATTTCCGCTCGTTAGATCGTCTGATCGGCCGTGCCGTCCCGCTCGTAAACCGCGCGCGCTATCGATCCCGCCGCCGCCGGCAACGGAGGTACCCCGTTATCGCCAACGAGAAAATCCTCGCGTGCTAATCGAAGCACGGCACGGGTGCGACACGAGTCGCCGCGTCGGCCGGCCGGCGGGAGATTATTTACGGCGGCTGTAAAATAAAACGTCCTTTGTCGAGAGAGAGAGAGAGAGAAAAAGAGAGAGAGGGCGAGGAGAAATTACGCTTTCGTAGCTGGAAATGATGTAAAATTATGTACCGTGCACTCTCGTGAGGGACTGAGGGGCTCTCGCCGTACAAAGTTGGAATGACTGGAGATAAATCGTCGGTAAAAGGGGACTTGTAACAGGTGTCCGTCAAGTGTTCATTCTATAAGGGAGAGGGGAAAACATTTCGAGCGTATTCTCTTTAGGGATATTCTGCACACGCAAATGGACGTGAAATAATTTGTGAGTTTGAAAAAAACTTTTCAATTGTCAAATCGAGCCAGATCTGGAGTAAACGAGTGCGAACAAACGCAAATAAACTCGAATATTGACTCGTCGATAGCAAGCTGCTCATTCGTGTTTGTTCGCGCCCGTTTGCTTTGTCTCTATATATCCGGCCTTGCGCAATAACGCGTGATCGCAGGATAGGACCCTCATCATTCAGAACTGTTCATCGTAGCTCATTTATCACGTATTGCAGCAACGTCAGTGGAGAAATGCGATTGTTATGATAACGTGATTTCACACGGAGAACAAAGTGCGATACAAAGCATAAGCCCTGGCACAAGCCGACACTCGCGTTTCCCGTCTGTCGCATTCCGATCCAGTTATTCATTTATTTTTACAGCGAATAAAGTGCTACGCAATATATTTTTTTTAGAACAAAGTGCGCAGAACAACGTCTCTATACCCTTGGGAAGGTCTATTTTACTTTGCACAGTACAAGTCCGAAACAAGTTTCGACGACTACTGGCGAAGCGCGAAATTTTATTTCACTCTCCGATCGTGCCTCGGATCAACGCACGCCAAGAGGCGATCTGCGTGCGAAAATAAAGAAGTAAAAATTGCGGAAAATTGTGCGCTCCGAGATGATACGCATATTCTTACGCCGCCGTAAAATATATTCGCGGGAGCAAGTCGCGCGTTTCGAAAATAAATCCAATGTTCTTACAGATGTCGGAGAAGAGGAAATTTCACGGTGAAGAACATGCGGTACAACGTCGTCGTGCGGCTCTCGGACGCCAGTGCGGATTTCCCGGTTTAACGCTCGAGGATTCGTTTTCCTCCGCGTGCGCGACAATAATGCGAATACACGTCTACAAACAGCGGGCGTTAATCTGCGCAGGAATCGCTTCGCGCGGTGAACGAGGACGCCTCGTTTCGTTGCAGCAGAAACAAACAGAAGCAACAACTTGGGTACACAAAAGAGAAGCGATGCGATGGTGGCAAGCGGATCATTATCTGCAAGGCGAGGGGGGGGAGGTGGTGGATGTGGGGTACCACGAGACCACGAGGATGTATTGTTTCGTACGTACTTTCTCGACCCGGAAGTGTCCGCAGCGTCGATCGATCCCGCGGATTCCGACTGAAGGGCGTGAGACTGAGGCAGGATCGCGCTCGACGACGACGTGGACGACGTGCGGGGATTCCCGTTGAGGGTGTCGTCGACGAGAGCGGACTCCGCCACACCCTCGCAGCCGTACCTGAATCAGCATGGTTGCATGCAACGCATTACAAAGGGGGGAAATGAATCGTAGGTGGGTGATAATGGCAAATGCCTGTGTGTCGCGATTGCGCGCCGCTCGCTCGTTAACCCTTAAACGACGGCGGTTTTCCCTTCGTCATCGTTACACTCGAATCGCTTTCATCGTTTACATCATTTCGACGTCATAAAGAGATTCGAGCATTTAAGGGTCAAACTGAGCTTCTAATATATTCAATTATTTTATTATATTTCTAAAGGCATGTTCTTCGATATTTTATTACATGTAAAATATTTATTTTCTAATTAAGTACGATATGTTATTGTCACGATACTCAATCCTAAATGATTAATAATAACCTCCAATGCTCGGTTTTACTATATTTAACGAAATAAATTTCGATTTCTACATTGTTAAATCTATGGTGTCAAGTTTAATCTTATTTGAGTCGCCACTGCTTCTACTTAATAGTTATTTTTAACTAAAACAATGGAGTTAAATAATTTAAAACAGTTCAAATTTAACCCAAACTTGGGTTAAACTCCATTGCTTTATTTAAAAATAACTATATTGTTTTAGTTAAAAATAAGTACATATATATTTAGTAGAAGCAGTGGCGACTCAAAGTTAAATTTGACACTATATATACATATATTTAACAGTGTATATAATACACTTTGACTTGGCGGATTTATAAACTGCATGGCACAATTTGAGCGCGATATCCACCAAGTCGGACGCAAAGTGCTGTTAAAGTAAAATGTTACGTCGTTTCATATTTTATGTCCGCTTACTGCTATGCGATGCACTCTTACCGCGAGCGCACGCACCTCCTCGCGGAAGGGAGTCGCGCGCGGTTGCGAGGAGGCGGCATTTTAATTAACGATCGGGGAACAGTGCCAGGCACCGACGTGGTTAGTACAGGGTCGCTAACCATGTCGAAGTAATTAAGGGATTAGTCGAGCGGTTTGCTGACTAACGCCAGCTGCCTCTCCTGAGTATCGCACGGGGCATTGCAGGAGGCGGGATACCTTAAGGGCCCCCGTTCCCTTTGAACGCACTCAAGGAATACCTACGGATTCCGTCGACTTCGAGGCCTTTAATCGGCGGGATTATAACCCGGGCTACGTGAGCCCGTGAGCGAAAACTTCTCCCCGCGGCGTCGACTTGACTTACTTCGCACGAAGGACTTCGAATGTTTAAAAGTTTAAGGCGAGCGGAAGTAAAAATGTTTTCGCAAAGAGAACGGCGTTCATCGTTTAAGTTTTAAATTTCGTAGAATCGTACAACTGCAGTTTTATTTCACATCGATCGATATCGTACAACTTTATCGAAAGTGGAATTGCTCTATGTATATGTAAATAAAGGAAATAGAGGTGGGAAACCAAATGGCAAAAAGTTTCGATCATATTTATAGAAATTTCATAATTAATAAAATTATTGAAGTGCATCCTCTCGTTCGGTTGACAGTCTGAAATTTTATCCCGCAGGTGCAGTTGCACTTATCACTTTATCACTTCTCCCCTTTCGTTTAACCCTTCCGCCACCCTTCCTAGACTAGTGCAGGGGTCGTTTCCGCGTTATCGACGATCAGTCTTTCAATTCCCTTTAGCGAAGATCGGTTAGCGAGAAGTTTGGGCTTTCGCTATATTATTTCACACCCATTACACAAGTCCTCGCTGGGCGGATGCATCTCGATACACGCTCGGTGTTCCCGGGACTTTGTTAATTGCCCCGATGATAATCGCGATAATTTCTCCGTACGTGCCGCTAATTGGCGAACCTACTTCTCGTCGGTTGTAACGTGGAAGAGAAGAAAACTACGAGCGTGCAACGCGCGCTCGGAAAAAAATTTTCGAACTTTCGCTGCAATGGCGAGAAAATGTCGAGCGTGGTTCTCGGATAAGGGCTGCTCGAGGAGAGGACGTCGTGAATAAATCGGGCGGCAACATAACTTTGGAAAGCCTTGAGCGCCATGAAGGAAAAGAGCAAAACGTAATTGAATTTACAAAAGAGGCGACGACGACGACGACGATGACGACACGCGAAGCCAAACGACATAATTTCGCGCAAATATGTGGGTTAGGGACGGCACGGAGGGGTCGCCTTGGAAATGCGCCAGAAGTTTCGGGGGAGTATCCTTGTACTTTGTACTAGAACGCGCGAGAACGATTGACGAAGAAATCGGACGGGGAAAATTCCGTCGCCGATTGTCGATTAACACCCGGCGGAATTCTTTTACGGAGCTCCTCTTCGGAATTCGGATACATTGGTCCTGCCCGACGATCGGGATGCAGATAGAAGAGGAGGGGGGGGGAGGGGTGATGCGACGATCTATCGAATTACAAATATTATGAGCGGCGTGACGCGCTTTCGGTTATTAAACGCGTTATTAATTAATTCCGGTAATATCGTATCGCCGCGCCGGTCGGGGATACGAATCGCGCGCGGACCGACGAGCGTTTTATCGGAAATGAAATCGCGATATTGACGCATTGACGTAATTCGTTTTCGAGGAACGTTAACTCGGTTCTCGCGATAACGCTATAGTCGGGACGGGATCGTTATTAATACCGTTAATCTCGGGATTGGCGGTATTGCGACAGTAGTATCTGGAATATCGGGTTATTGACACCGGACGTATCGATCTATCGACATATTCCCTCGCCCCCCTTCCCACCCCCCTCCCCCCATATAGTATTACGAAGATCGTCCGGGTTGGAGACGACGACGCGGTCAATTTGAGCGGCCGAAACACTCCGAGATTCCGTTTCGGATGATCGCGAATCGATGATGGCGGCGCGATAACGGAACGCGACACCTCGTAAAACGAAATGGGAGAGATATATGTACATATAAAGTCCGTAAATACATAAGGATAAAAGAGAAAACATCGAAGGAATTGGAAAAACTTCTTTTAATTATTCGTGTTACACACACACACATACTTGGTGTAGATTAAGTAGCGTAAAAAAGAAGAAAAACAAATAGACCCAATCTCTCATCTTTCTTTGATTTCTTTGAAATTTTTATTAATTCAACAGGAGAACAAGCAAGATATGGCAAACACTTCAGTAGAATGAAATATAAGAAAGATGGAATGTATAAGAAAGTGGAGCTATTAGTTTTTCTTCTTTTTCGCGCGCTATACGCTTGCCAGCATATGTATATGGGACTACAGTTTTTAACGCCGATTCCGAACAGCCTGTTAGCAGAGCTCTTTCCTGGCCAGTGTTATCCTCGGTGGTTTGCCTTCCGAGAGGTGGCGATCGCTTCCAAATCGATTAAAACCGATTCAGAGTTATTATTGTTCCGGGTAGATTTTAACCCGAGTCTTCGGCACAGAAAGCCGACGCGCAGTTACTAGAGCCACGATCGCCACGATTAACAGTATACCGCGCTAGCCGACAAGAAGTAAACATAAACTGCGATCGCGATACAACTTAAATCAGCTGCCGCGGGACGGTAATTGTAATCCAGCCGACGCGTACACATACACGCGCGCGCATCGCCCGTAACTTTCAGTCAGATGTAATTAAACCCAATTAGGTCGTAAGGTGAGCAACTTCTGACGCACCTGGCTGGGCCGTAAATTACGCCGGTAAAGCCCCCCCTCCCTCCTCTTCCGCTCGTGTCTATCTCTCGCCGGCACCATGATTACAGTATTCGTAATTTTATGGTTTCTGCTCGAGAACGCGGATCATTATCTTCTGATTACATTACTATCGTCATAAATCGCGCGCCCTTTTCAGGGAAGCGCGAATTAAATCGTCAGGTAAGGCACGAGACAAAGAAATCGTTTCCGCAATTATAAAGCACGAAAAGGTTGAAATTTAAAAAAAAAAAGAAAAATAATTACGAAAAAACGCTTAAATACCGACGCCGTAATAATGATTCGTCTTTCGATAGAGAGTTCATCCTTTGGACTTGGCGTGCCGCATCGATCCTTAACGCGCCCTGCATTCCGTCAGTGTATCCACGTAGCAACGTTTGGCTCTCTCTCTCTTTCTCCCCCTATTAATGGAATCCGACAAACGTTTCGCCACGGACACGAGGGAAAGAGAGAGAGAGAGAGAGAGAGAGAGAGAGAGAAAGAGAAAATGCGAGAAAAGGAAGGACAAACGGTAGAGGTTGCAGAGTGTCGGAAAGGTCGGTATCGGCCCTCTTGGACGTCTGTAATTCGCTGTCGGTGTTTGTCGATCGGCAGAAACAACGGCCGGTCGACCGTGACGTGGACATCAGCGAGGGGTGATTTGCGCGAAGGGAGTTAAAAGGGAAAGGGACACAGAGAGAGGGGAAAAAAGGCGAGAAAGCCTAGAGAGAGGAAAAAGTGGCGCGCGGCCGAAACACCGTGTAGGTAGATGGACGTCCACGCGGAGTGCGGTGCAAAGTGAGTAAGTGAGTGAGTAAGTGAGTGAAAGAGAGAGAGAGAGAGAGAGAGAGAGAGAGAGAGAGAGAGAGAGAGAAATATATATAGAGAGAGAATAGGAAAGAGAGAAAGAGAGTCGGGCTGCTTCTCTCCTCGCTCGATCAATACACACTACCAGCAACCACCCAACCCACCCTCCGCGTCTCTGCCCCACGGCACCAACCCTCGACCACTGTGCGGCGCTCACCCGCCAACGTCACCCCATTTCGAGCGCACAGCTACAACCGCATTCGCACGCGCACGCACGTACACACGCGCGTACGTATACATGCACGCACACGTACAGCCACGTCCGTATTATACACCGAGTAGGCGATACGGATCGCGCTGTGGTGTATCGACGAAGTCGCCGTCATTCTCGCCGTCTTTACGGGCTGATTGGCCCGAGAGATCGACTTTGTCGACGAGCGATTGACGAGCAATCGGCGAGCGCGTTACATGGGGATCATTCCCGAGAATTGAGAGAGACCCCCCCCCCCCGACAATCGACAGGCCGACGTGGACAGCCGATACACGGAATCTATATACGGTCGGAATGCGGTTCGTTTTATCTTGTGAAAAGAATCGCAAT